CTTTTAATCTAATTCATATAACTTCATTGTGAAAATGACAAAGACAAATTTTGAAATTATTGTATCGTACAATTTATTTACAATTTCTAACTCGTCATTACGTATAATTTTTCGATACAATAATAACATTAAATTATACTTATCACTAAATTAGTTAATAACTAGATGAAGCACAATCTGAGTGGACGTTACATGGATCGTGATAGGGTTAATAATAAATGGCAGGCACAAATACCGTAACTTTCCTCCAACTAAATTTAGGATGGAAAGCAATTACCACGGTCCTATGAATTATCGAGAAATATCGAAGAGGACCACATCCTGAATTACAGCGCGAGAAATTGCGCGGTCTAGCGTACACCAAGATTAAGTGCCTAGCCGATATTAAGTGTCCCTGCTTGCGAATATTCCATCTTAAATTCATTGACGCCGATTTTGAACTCGATCTGCCCCTCGCTTCGAAATTACGACAAACAATTGTTGCTTCTTAGAAATTTTCTAAATTTCTTCCAAAATTATTTGACACTGATTATTCGATAATCTGCTCATTTATCTCGATTAACCACAATAATAAGTATTAATTTAAAATCTTGTTGGTCTAATCTATTCTTCAGATCTTTTCTTAAATAAAAATTATATAACTGATTTAGAAGGGGAACAATATTCTTAAAAATAGAAAATTAGAAATAATTCTAAAATTATTCTAAATTAATAGAAAATTAAAAATAGATCTTGTTGGTCTAATCTATTCTTCAGATCTTTTCTTAAATGAAAATTATATAACTGATTTAGAAGGGGAACAATATTCTTAAAAATAGAAAATTAGAAATAATTCTAAAATTATTCTAAATTAATAGAAAATTAAAAATAGATAAAAATAGAAGATTTATTTATTGCATTTCTTCCATTGAATACAAGATACAATTGTTCCAATATTTGCGTAATCGGACTTTAAGATTAACTCACGTAAAGTCTTTCGTTATAAACGTACAATACCCCCTTGATCAAACCAGAGACCTCAAGATCAGGCCTCGAGTTAAAAATCCAAATTCACAAGAAATCTTTCCCACTCTCACACTCGTTTCACACTCGTTCAAGTGGCCCTCTTCATGCTCTTCTCGTTCACAGCTGGCCCAAACCGGTTGAAACGAAATTTCGTTTCGACGTGTTACGTGTTATTATCCTGAAACGTTCCTTTTAAAGCGATGATTTCATTCGTCTCCGCGTAATTTGTTTATCGGCCATCGAAAGCGACGTGCCATCGCGAACGACCTGCATTTCCGTTTCGACGGCCGACATGTGTGCTGGAAATCGGGATACGCATACACAACCAACTTCTTCCCGCCCCAGACGGGATATTAAACGCACACGTCGAATCTCGAAACGCTGTCAAAACCAGCCTCGTCGCGGTGGAAAACGAGATCGTAAATATTTAGTTCGGCGTCGATCGAATTTCGGAAGTCGTTGTGCGGCTAAAGGACCATGCCTTTTGTCATTTTCTATTTTCTCATAATGACGATCGTATTCGTTCATTCCTCGATTCGCATAGAGGTGTTGCCACCCTTGTTTTTTGCATTTAAAATTCACTTAAGTTGAAGGATTTTGATATTCAATTGAACGTATCATTGTTATCTGTAACAGAGTTGTTTTTTCGTTATTTGTTAGTGAAGCAAGAATGTAATATAATAAATATATAATCTTAATATGGTATACCTTTTATAAATTTATATCCAAAGTATTTTCTATTGGAGCAATTAAATATTTATAGAGGATAATTAGTACTTTTCGCACATAATATGATGCATTCTGATTAAATATTTGATATACGGCTCGTTTTCTATTCCTTGTATCTTTGTGTTGCACCCTTCTTTTTCTCACATATGAAAAAATTATTAAGAATTATAAGTATCAGTAATAATATGTATATGAAAATATTTTTTGCAAAAGTAATTGAAAGAAATAGCGTTATAAAAATTGTACATATTTACAAAACTGTTCGAATGATGCAGTCTCTGATCAAATTATAAAGAGTTTCGAGAGGAAATTTTACGTCTTTGAAGTCGTTCCAGTTATTGCATTATTAGTTTTCTCTTTTAAGAATTTCCAGGATGCATTAATAAAAAGAAATCAAAAGGAATAGAATATCTTCGGGCATATTTATATTCTTCTATTTAATCACACGATTTTTCATTTTTTAAAATTTCGACACGATAATTTTTTCCCTTTAAATTCGTTTATGATTTGTTATTATAAAATATATTTTTTGAAAGGAAATATTTTACTCGATAATAAACTGGCTTATTATATTTATCCAAAAGAGGATATTAAAGTTGCTTGTTACTTATAAATCATTCTTATGTTAGCCAAGATTTTCGAAAGTGGGTTACGAAGCGGTTGTTCTTTTTTCTACGTCCTTATTAGACTGTAAAAATTAAATTATATTTTCGTTCCAAAGTTCAGCTTCGCTGTTATTGTTGGATTGAAAAAAAAATCGATCAAGTGTGATCAAATTAAAAACCAAATGAAAAATGTAATCGTTAAACAGAATAAAAATTAACAATTAGTCAAATTTCTAGATCCTAAAATCGTCGAAAAATGTTATCGGGTTTCAAAAATAAATATCGAAAGTTTTCGTTCAACGATAAATTACATTTAGATCAAAAATTGATCGATGAAAATTTTATAAAACCAATCGTACAATTCGAATTGAAATATTATCATAATTAACTTGGGAAAATTGAAATTTGAAAATTGTCAAATTTAATATTTCCCGTGTAAAAATTGCAAAATAAAAACAAATAAATAAATAATTTCCTGTCCTCGATAAACAGTGAAGTGTTTAAAATCACATGAGGTTAAATTTCAATTTAAAAATGCCTGACACAGATTCCATGATTAATATTTCGCACGCGTACATGGCCTCTCAATGAGCGAAATTTTTATCACGTGCAATTTAACTCCGCTAGAATTAGGGTAGGCGAAGAATCTCACGATAAAATTCTAGCCTAGGACGAGAAGTTGGAAAGTTGATTTGCTCAAAATTCCCACTTTACGTGTAACAAGCTCCCGTTCGAAACTCGAAATTCACAACTTTGTAATTACGCGTGATGTAATGATGTTTAACAGACGATAGGAGGCATCGTCGGTATCCTGGCATTCAGAAGTTTATTTCCAAGTTTACTCGTTTCTTCTTGTTGCTTTTACCGCGCGCCATCGTGTATGCAATGCTGAAACAATCTCATCGAAGAAAAGATTCGAATGGAGTAGAAAAAAGTTTCTGCGTGACTTCGTGTTGCGCCCTTTTGTTTTCGGGCAAGTCTCTGGGGGGAATATCGAGGATTGGAGGGAACAGAAAAACCTTTCATTCTTCCAGCTTTATATTTTTTATTTTTTTTTTTTTATCGTTGTATGCGAGTTTATGCACAGGCTGATTCTGGAATTGTGATACGATTGGAAAAAAGTTCGTTGTGGAAAAAATAGGTCATGAAAAATGGAACAGAATGGACAGATGATAAAGGATCAATAATAAAAGACTTACGTAGTTCGTGAACTTCTTTATTCTTAGAAACTTTGTATTATAATGGATCGATTGAGTTGTTAATTTCGTATATTAAATAACAGATTCTTTATCTTTGTTAGTATTTTTTTTCTTTAATTATTTTTTAAACTCATGATTATTATGATTATTGATCGCGAGAAATCATCCTGGAATTAATTCTTGAAAATGACTTGGCAGAACTTGTGATATTTACTGAAACATTGGAAATGAGAATAGAAATCGAGATTAAATCGTTTTACTAGTAATTTCGGGTACAATTGTAATTTTAATCCCTAAATTTTAACGTGACGTCGAACACGAACATCTACGCTATCAAATTCACAAAAATCTCTGCCATAGCCCGGCAACGAATTCACAACGAAAAGCAATGGACATTTAAAACGTCCGAAGAGCAAAATGGCTCGGTTAATGACTCATAAATATCTAGCAGGGGAATTAACATTTATCACTGGACGTCAGCGCGTTAATTAGTGTATTAAAGCCATTCGAACGGACGAAAGGGAACATTTTTTTTTCTTTTCCTCTCTCTCTCTCTCTCTCTCTCCGTTCACCATTTCTATGAATGAGAACAATCGGCTAGTTAGCATTCCCTGTTACGCTCGTTCTAATTTAACGTGTTACTAGGAGACACGGTGTGCGTGCCTGATTTGTGTCGCACGTAGAAAAGGAAACACGCGAGAGAGGGCCCTCACTCCCTAAAGAAGATGCACGACGTAGAAAAAGGGAGGCAAGAAGACGTCCTCTAAGTCTTCTTTAAATACAACGTGATCGATGATCCACCAGTGGATGTAGGGTGAAAGCAATTTCATAAAGTCTTTCGAAATATTAGCTCTGTCAGGAAATTGAAATTGTTCCTGGTGACAGTTGGACAGAGAAGGATCGTAAAATATGGCTAGTTTAATTCTTGATCGTTTGCACTCCCTTCGTTAATTTACTTTTTTATGTTGATTATTCACGCATTTTGATAATATTTTATTCTTTCCTTTATTTTCATTACGTCTTATTAATTCTTATTCTCGTAAATCCTTTATACAATATATTATATATTCTGAATCGTTATACGTTAATGACTTCATTTCAACCAATTTCCCTTATTCAATATATACTGATATATTGTTTCAAATCTCTTCAAATTCTACGAAACATTGTGCAAACCGAATGAAAAATTCTTAAAGAAAGTACAATGCGTAGCTGTAATGTGCTCCTTTCATACCCATTGTTAAAAACAATAAATCGAATTCAATAATGTAGATTGAAAAAAAGGGAGGAGGGGAAAAGAAAAAAGAATCGCAAACAAAACATTTGCGTTAATGCAACCTCGTTCCTTAATGGGCCCTTCAATAACGAGTTATGACGAGGCATTTTGCATCCTAAAAAAAAAAAAAAAAAAAAAAAAAAGGCGAGAAGTAATCATGGCCGATATTTCTGGTTCACCTTGCAGGTGCGCAATATTCAATAAACACGCGATGGAGAGAAGAAAGTGATGATAAAAATCGAAACGGAAGCCGCCACCGCCGCCGTACCAGCCCGAGTTCACGAGATGGAGACTTTCCTCGGGGCACGCATCAGTATAGAAGGCGCGTAGAATCAGGATCGAAAGGGGAGCATCGAGCACGGGATCCAAGATGGGCAAGTGTTGCAGCAAGCGGCAAGAGCCTCAACCCCTTGGTGAGTAACCCTCTCTCGCAATCTCCTTTTATCCTCATCCGCGATGAGTTTTTCCTTGCTACTTCCGCCTTCCTTCCCCCTTTTTACGTTTCCGTATCTCTCTGCCCCTCTCTACTTTTCGCGTGTTTTTATTCTTTGAAATCCTTGAATGGAAGTTGGCTGTAACGAAATGAAACTGTGAGTGAAATTTTGGGAATGAAGATCGAGGCAGGGGAGAAAAGTTGTTTAACGAGTATATAGCGATTTACGTTTTTCTCGGGAACAAGTCGGCAGAGGTTACGATTTGTTAAAAGTATTTTAACGTGGTGGAACGTGCGTGGTAAGATGGGGGAGTTTTAATTAGAATTAAATCTCTTTGATGCAATTTAATTAAAGCGTTAAAAGGATGGGCTTTGTTAACTCGGGGCTTGTTAATCCTGGTCTAATTGCTTTTCTTGATCGATTTAAAGTGATAGAATTATTCCAGGTTTAGATAACTTTATCATTGTCCCTCTTCTTTAATTAATCGGCCGATAGATTCTTTTTCTTCTGCTTTTCTATCATTTCTGTCACGTTGGAATCTTCTTACGTGATGTAAAAAGAAAAAGACAATATAATTATATGAAAATAGATAAAAAATTATTTTTGTAATTCGTATGAAAATTTTATTCATTTATTCATTCTTGAGATTATATTTGTTCTATTGATCCATGAAGTTTTATCTAGATCTGAAATAAACGTATATATATATAAAGCCATTTTTCATACTTTCGTGTTTGATTATCCAGGTTACAAGAAAGCAGATACAGGACTAAGCTCGAAACACAGTAATGGAGGTTCCTTGGATCGGTACACTGCTGACCCAAATCAAAGGGGTGTACAGGCTAGGGCAGACATCATTCGACCGAGGCCGACACCTTGTAAGCTACAAATTCCTCACCAGTCACGTAAAACAAGCTCGCCTGTCGTTAAGCCTGCATGTGTGTATATTTATGTTCTTTTATTTCACTTTTTAGCTAAGCGATTTTACTTTAAGCTTTAGCTTTAAGATTCTAATTTATAAGCCTGCGATTTATTTTTCTTAATCTTCGAACCAGATCAAGTTATTATATTTACCACAAATTGTACGATATACTTGAAGTAAATTTGCGCAATTATTTTTGCGTGGATCAAGTTTAAGAAAATGTTTAAACCAAAAGAAATTTGCAATTTGATGAAGAAAATTTTTTTCGGTCTCAGGGAAATTGATATTATGTGAAAAAGAAGTTTCTCTTAATATTCCCTTCTTCGAATTTATTTAAGCAGAAATCTGCAAGTGAGAATTATTCAAATTTTATCGATCGATAATTATCAAATTCAAAATTTCAATATTTTACGTATTAAGCAAAGTGGATCATTTATATTCAAAATTTAACCTCTTTCATTATCTCTATTTCATTATAAAATTATTAAAAGTTAAAAGTCTGAAACTTTTTTTTCTTTAATAAAAATTTAAGGATAAAGTTTCGCTTAATTTTCACCCAAGGAATTAATATGAGATCATGAACGAGATCGTCTAATATATAGTTTTTGCACAAAGAATGATTCCAACGTCTCATCGACGCGTGATAGCTTAATCAATCAATGTTCTATCAGTTCCACCTGCGACCCTAAATAGATCAATCGTGAACGCTTACAGGATTCACGATAAAATTACAATTCTCCCTAAATAATAAGCCTCTATTTCTCGAACTTGTAAATTGGTTTGTTCTCGAAACAGCGCATTCACAGAGGTCGAACAAGATCGTGGTGGCTCTGTACAATTACACTGCGCGCGAGAGTACCGATGTCAGTTTCGTGAAGGGCGATCGAATGGAAGTATTGGATGACTCCGAGCCCGACTGGTGGAAAGTTTTACACTTGACAACTTTGCAAGAAGGTCTCATCCCGTGGAACTTTGTGGCCGTCGAGCGTTCGGTCGAGAGCGAAGAGTGAGTTGTCCAATTAAAAGCTTATAATTTTTTCTTTCAGCACAGGCGAAATATGAGACAAGATCTTTTTTTGTTTCGTGATCTAAGAGATCTCATTCTATAAATGAAGAAGTCCTTGTAAATTAAGATAAAGAATAAACTCCGTTTAAACACGCTAAAAAAACTTTCCTGGAGGAAACAATTGAACGAAGAGCAATCGTTGTTAACTAACTCTCATTTTATTATAATATAATAATAATAATGATCTCGTATTTCGATCTAATTTTCTATTACTATTTCGTCGATTTTATTTTATCTCCATCCGCATTTATTTATTCAACGAAATCCTGTTTATCATCATTTTTTTCTCTTAGTTGGTTTTTCGAAAATGTCTCGCGCAAAGAAGCCGGTAAGCTTCTTCTGGTGGATGAAAATCCTCGGGGAACATTCTTAGTCCGACCCAGCGAGCACAATCCAAGGGGATACAGTTTATCCGTGAAAGATTGGGAGGAGGGAAGAGGTCATCATGTAAAACACTATAAAATTAAGCCTCTCGACAATGGGGGCTTCTTTATCGCCACCAACCAGACATTCCCAACTCTTCCAGCTCTTGTTATGGCGTACAGCAGTAAGTTGGAACACAAGCTCGAACAAACGCATTCTCACCCATCTAACTATTCCCCACGAAATTTCTGTAACCATTTTCTAACGTTATATAAACTCTCGAATATTCCAGAGAATGCGTTGGGTCTCTGTCACGTGCTCTCGAAACCGTGCCCGAAACCGCAGCCGGATATGTGGGATCTCGGGCCCGAGCTGCGAGACAAATGGGAGATCAATAGGAACGAGATACAGCTAATACGGAAACTGGGTCATGGGAATTTCGGCGAGGTTTATTACGGCAAGTGGAGGAACAAAATCGAAGTGGCTGTGAAGACGTTGCGACCTGGGACCATGTCGACGGAGGCATTCCTACAAGAGGCGGCGATTATGAAACAGTTCCGGCACAGACACCTGGTCGCGTTGTACGCGATCTGCTCGAAGGAGGAGCCGATTTACATCGTGCAGGAGTACATGTGCAACGGTAGCCTGTTGGACTTTCTGAGGACGGGTGACGGCAAGTACATGCAGTTCGAGGATCTGATTTATATCGCCGCCCAAGTGGCGTCCGGTATGGAGCACCTCGAGAGCAAACAGTTGATACACAGAGATCTGGCAGCGAGGAACGTTCTGATAGGCGAGAAGAACAAGGCGAAGATATGCGACTTCGGCCTGGCAAGGGCGATCGAGGACGACGAGTATTGTCCCAAACAGGGAAGCAGATTCCCCGTTAGGTGGACAGCGCCGGAAGCCATTGTCTACGGCAGATTCAGCATTAAGAGCGACGTTTGGTCTTACGGTGTCTTGCTAATGGAGCTATTCACTTATGGCCAAGTTCCTTATCCTGGTATGGTTTCGATCTTTTTCTTTTTTATTATTACTTTTCTTCTTTTTTTGTTCTCGTTTATTCAACGCAATAAAATATGTTATATTTCTATATGTTATTAACTGTGATTGTCTTTCTTAATTAATTCAATTTGTAATTGCTTTATCGTGATACGATAGATATTTTTTATCGTTCGTTTTACAGGTATGCAGGGTCGCGAAGTAATTGAGCAGATCAATAAAGGCTACCGAATGCCTAAACCATTAAATCACCCGCTGCCGGACAGCATTTACCGATTAATGTTGCAATGCTGGGATGCTAGCCCCGAGAAGCGACCCACTTTCGAGTTCCTTAATCACTATTTCGAGTCATTCAACGTAACTAGCGAAATACCGTATCTGGAACCACCAACGGACTGATACACAGCTCACATGCAGAGTCACCTGGTACCGCACGGTCATTTTCATCCAGCGCACATCAATTGTGCCATGGAGTTTTATGGTATTTATTGCTAAATCTCTAGCAATCATGTGGAGATTCTGTTACCGTGTTCTTTTTTATATTGAATAAAAATTCGCGGGTTTTCCGCGTGAACGATGAATTTCAAAAAAAGAGGGAGAAGGAAGAAAAAAGAAGGAAAAAAGACGAAGAAACGAAAGAAATGGTACGAAGGAAATTTTATAAATTATACATTGGTGGCGAAGAATTTTGTAAACGTTACCAGATTTCTCGAAGCAATCATTGTTAAAGGCTGCCAAAAAGAAAAAAAGAAAAAAGTAAAAAAAGAAAAAAAGAAAAGAAAATAATTCTACGATGATCGAAATTTGATAAAAAAAATTATTGAGCGTCATCGAAAGAACATCTCAAGAACAATGATCTTGTGTGCCATTGAACTTTACGAGAAAAAGAAAAAATAAAAAAAAATCTTATTCAATACTGTGAAGAGGTATTTTCAAGATCTTGTGAACTTTTGTGACCAATCATGGATAACTGCCGATTAATAATAACGAGTAAAACGTTGCGACTGAAAATAAAAATTCTCTAGAATGTCTCTACCCGCCACGTATTCAATATATATTATAGAATTTAAAAAACGGAATCATTCTCAACGTTCGAGCTATTTATTAAGCATTTTCACAATTTGGAGAATATATTAAAAATATTTGACGAAGATATCTTATTAAACAAAAAAAAAAAAAGTTTAGAGGGTAGAACGGAACCAGTTGAGAATTTAAAAGTAGAATTTTAAATAGTAGACGATATAACCAATTATATTAATCCGTCAATGTATGATTACAACGCCGACAAATGGAAGTGTCGCGACATTTATACATATAATCTAAGCGATTGCTTCTTTATTGATCTCGAATCAATCGCGACTGATTTTTCCTAAGATCCAATAATTTTTTTTTTTTTGGATTTGATCCTTGGAAATTTCAATACAAATTACACAATTTTGTGCATCATATCGATTATTGGATGCACGAGTCTGTATCGAAATACAATCACATTTTATTAATGTGTACCTAGCTGTATGCAAGTTTTGATTTCGAACGATACGTCGAGTAGGACAATATTTTTTACGAGAAATTAATATACGTTTTATATACGTAAATGAAGAAAATTTTTTCGATATATTTTTGTTCTGTGAACAGTATATATCCCAAATATACGATTCGAAAGCACACGTTCGTTTCTCCGATATATACAAACTTATATATTTTTTTTTCTTTTTTTTACTGTGATCATAATCTATATAATAAAAAAAAAAAAACTAACTACTTGTTCTCTATAAAATCAATAATATCTTATAATATTAATTTAAGTCTTTTTTTTTTTATAATTCAATATGAGAATAAGAAATTATTAATAATAAAAATAAAAACGTGCGTTATACGACTGTATGTCGCCACGAGAGGTGACATTTTTTTTGAAAATATTCAAAAAAAATTTCGAACTATGTAAATCTATTAAGAAAAGAAAAAAAAAAGATAAAACAAAATAAAAAATAAAAAATTATACTTGAAGGTAAAAATTAAGTCATCGATGTTGCTCGTACAAAGTGTTTGAAAAAAAATTGTAAATTTTCTACTAAATATACAAATGACAGGTTAGGGTAGAATTTAGACGGTAGAACCGTGAGGTAGTTATAAATCTCCTCGAGATGTGAAACGCCAAATATCTTTTTTTTTTTTCTTTTTTTTTTCCATAATTCCGTTATACAAGATTTTTCTCGGATAATGGTTTCGATCTCGAGGAAAGTTTCGATATATCGTTGTCTCGTCATGATCGTTCTTCGTGGAACGTATTGTTAGACATAAGTCCCTAGGCGTACATTGAATTATTTCACGATAAACAAGATGAGCCATTATGACACTTTAGATATTAAAACATTTAAACAAATAAGAACAAAAAAAAAAGATGGAAGCGAATGAGTGGATAAAAATATCGGGAGAAAAATGATAGAGTATATGAATATATGAAAGTGCGAGTGACGATAGGATTACATGTGTGAGTGTAGTGAATTGTTACACCCGTGAATGTGTGGTATTTTTTTCACGCGCATCTTGCCGTGACATTAAGAAACGAGCAATAAAATGTCGTGCTTCTTGTACGGCCCGTAACTATTGCTCAATAGAAAAAAAAAAATTATCGTTTTCGCAAATGAACATTTTCGTGAAAAGAAAAATAACAAATGTCTGACAAATCAGTGTTTCTTCTCTAATGACAAATTTCATATTTAACACGGACACCGATACATTCGATACATACTTTTGTGGCTTATGTTTATTGGGACTCTTGGGACTCGTCGCGAACTCGACATTATATTGCCACATATTATATAGTATACCAATAAATATAATGTTTTTTACTATAATTAGCGAGGCAAACACCACATACCTTCGTTGTGTGAGTTGACTAATTTATTCTATATAGTATGATGCGATGAATGCACGTGAAAAAGCATCATGTTTATGTAGAGTTAGAAAGGTAGTTGTATTACGTCCAGTAAACTTTTTCTATGAGCGTTTTATACCGATCAAAATGTTGTTGTGTTTCTCATGGAGAATGATCATTTAAGATTTTTCGCTAAAGATCATGTTGTCGCCATAAATCGTAGACGTATGAAATACAAATCATGCACGAATTCGATTCGTCGAGCGATGGAATATATCCATCATTCGTATAGAAAGTATATACGTTTGATTTCTCTATCTTGAACATGTCTCACTGTCGCATTTACATCATTTTATCCAAGCAAGACGAAGAGAATAATAGTATATATAAATGTTAAATACTGGTAAGGCATCATGTGGCCTTTCCATTGGACCTAGAGACTGATATTATTTAGAACAAAAAAAAAAAAAAAAAAAGAGAAAAAAAACAGATTAATTGCATTTGAATTTATACTTGATGATCACTCTTGAAGAAACTTTTCACATGAATATCGAATCATAAATAATTGAAATTTCAAATTTTCTTATGGCAATTGGTACAATTTGTAATAATAATTCAGATTTTATATCAATTATATATCTGCAAGATTATGATAATTCTTTGTCAGTCCATGTTCAAATTAGAAATTCAAGAAAATATTGTAGGGAGAAAATATTATCTCTTGAGATAATAAACTTCAAGATTTTTAAATAAAACAAAAATAACAATTGTAACAATATATCGAAATCGAATTCTAGTCGGGAGACGCTACGTGTTTTCAATCAATTGTAATGTATGATAAATATTGCAATTCATAATGAAATTATCATGAAAGCAATAATATTATCATTATTATGCTTTTGATCAAAGCAAAGTATATTCTCAATATGCTAGTTGATTTAGAGCTATCAATTTTTTAATATTTCTGGAGTATTCGTTACCATACATAAATATATATAGAATATTAAGATTATAGATTTAGAGTTTTTCGCTAAATTTTTGTAACATATATATATATAAATATTTGTCCTCATAATCAATCGAGATAATTATCGATAATTATAAATCGAGTAGTACTTCATAACACTAGTTCTATTTTTACTACTTTTATCTAATAGCTATTTTTACAACTTAAGTATCAGAAAATCATAAAATTATCTTTAATTTTAAAATATGAATTATAATATTGTAATTTATACATATATTTTTTTTAACACCGCGTCTCTCGACTTGGAGACAAATTTCCATCCTTAATTTATAAAGTACGCTTGAAATTTGCATCTTTTTCAACCTTTCTATTTTAAAAATTTGTTTCGTTGTGGCTCCGTTCAAATGAAATTTTAATAAATCTGTGATATAGTGACAGACCTCATGTTTTGATACAGAGTTTGATTATTGCGCGGAGCTACCAACGAAATTAACATGTCAAATTATTTAATAACCCTTTGTAAATGTTAAAAATGAAAACAGTCACGTGATGCGCACACCAAATAGATGGATATTTTTTAATGCATTTAGGCTTTTGTCAAGATTTTCACAATACACCGCGCGTCAACATGGTTCACTCGTACCTAAAGTAAAAATGGATCAATATATCGTCATTGTTTACGTACCAAAGCTTATTATCATTAAGTAATTTAATAGTTACTTTATATCATTGTATTAAGTACTATAAGCCTATGCAGATAAATATATTATGTATCATATTAACAGAAAAGTGTTAAATGATATTCATATATTTTATCCATGTAACTCAATATTATTTTTTGTCAACAAACACATAGATTGGGAATTTTAATAATACAATATGTTCATTGCAAGAAATTTATTCTAGTATCAATGTTTTTTTTTGTAATACAAAAATTTTATAAACAAAGATATTAAATCTTTTCCATAAATAATTAAATGAATTAGTTATGACACGAACGATTTTAAAAAAGAAATATTATACTTTGTTTTATTATTTTCAAGATTTTTACTTTTTGTTTTATCATTTTTACTAAAATTAAATTTCATCTTTAATACTCTTTTTCTCTACAAAAACGCAGATTTTTTTTCATTTTTTGTTTTTTTTTTGTTTTTATTGTATATTATATATAATTTAGGTACCAAATTAAATTGGATTCGTAGCAAACATACAGTATTTAGACTTGCAATCATGCATCAACCTTGCATGCTGGTCTTTGAAAAACTGTATAAGAAATCTGTCTATTACAATTTAATATATTATATTTAAATATACATCATTTCTGCCATGTGTGACATCTTCTTTGGAATATGAACAAACTCCTCGAAGTAACTGGCAAGTTCATCAATAGTGACATCACACGAAGATATTCTTGCTTGTACTGAACATGTATTTGAACTTGAAGGTTGACCGGTTGAAGTAGTGGTTTCTGATTGACTATTGCCTCCGCCTGGACCAGGTCCTCTTTTTAAACTTGGCATTGTATTACTACGTGCTCGTTGAAAACTACTAGCTTGATAATTATCTTGAATGCTGGTATCATCCTTAACTTGTCTAGACTCTTGGTTAATATTTAATGCTTTAAAGTCTTTTGCGACCATACCATGGCCAAAAATTTTTGAATTTTTTCCACACATACTAAATTTACATGTTTCTTTAAGCAATGTATTCGTTAGATTATCACTAAGACAATTAGTGCCAGTATCATTTAATTTTAAGACAGCCTCCTTAATAATTGAATTCTTATTTTTATCAAGTACTCTTTCATTTTTTGATGGTTTAAAATTCGTTGTACTTTTTACGCCTCTAGGACTGATTGTGGTTAATGTTGGCCTAATAGGCATTAATCTTTTTTGAAATAAATGACTGCAGTCAGAACTGATAGTTTTATTTGTTCTGAATGGATTTGATGAGTTTATCTTGTCGGTAGGTGATATACTGAAACAACAAAAAATAATGTTAATTTAATATTATTAATGAATTATATTATTATTAATAATCATTAATAATAAATAAATTTATAAACAAAATTGAATAAAATTTGGTTGAAAAAAGATTTAGAAATAATATTGAAATTTTTAAGAATTATTCAAAGTCATCTTAATAATTCATCATTCATAGTACATAACCTTGAATTAAATATTCTAAACGTATTCTTTCGTTGCTTATGCAATAGTGTCAAACTACGTGAATTCATATTAAAACCGTAAAAAGTATAACATTTGATTAAATCATATTCGAAAATATATAATTCATATTAACATATTTCAATTAATAACAATAATATTCCCCACTTCATTTATAGTCTATTTTAATTCTCTTGATTACGTTCATAAATAAATTATGCAAGAATAACATTTCGTATATGTAGATGACTCTGTGTGTGAGATCTTTTAAACTTGCTCAAAATATGTAAACATTTCGATTTGCTTACAAATCACAGTCAATGTTGTTATTTCGCACCATCGAGAACAAGAAATGACGATCATTAAAATACATATTCACAAGCGCTTGCATCATTAATAAATCAAAAACACAATAGCGTAAATAGAAATCGTCACGTAATTTGCAAAATGAAGTAACTTTAACCAAAGACCTTGACCGCGTGTGAAAATGGATTGAGTCGCAAAACCGCTACGATCCGATACATCGAACAGATACACGGATTCAGAATGTTCGAGGTACTGGAAAGGGATAGTTGTGAGGAGCAGGCGCTTTAAATGAGCTTTCGGCGGTAAATGCTTACTGTGGACAGCTCGAGGAGAGACGATCAATTTCGAGCTTCTCCAAACTCGCCGGCAATACTTCGTCAGCCATGCTAACAATTTTGCACAGATCTGTGCTCAACGTTTGTGAGAACATGGCATCATGCCGAATCACTGTTGGCAAACAAACGTTGACAGCGCGTCGGAAAATTCCAGAATGAAGAATACAATGTTTCGGGAAATAGGTTAGAACGATGACGATAGTCTAAATTCCACAACAACGACATTCACCGCGTTTCTCTTTAACTCCGCGATTAAATTTAATGCGTTTCACGTGTGCATCATCTCGTTTCCGTTATTACTGAATTCACTCATAAGATATTGTCTATAGATGCGACTTCGCGATCAATTAATCATCGACAGCACGTAAATAAACAGACTTTTGCGCGCAACTGCCATTCTATTGCTGCTCAATACCGGAAGTAACGACTGCAGATGGCGCTTCGAATGCATTCATTGCCCGCCCGACGCCATTTAAACTTTCGAAACTTTTATCGATGTTTAAATGAATCTAGAAGATATGTATATATGGGTTTACATTTATCTTTATCTTTTACGGAATTCAACGTATCATCAGCAAACAGGTAAATAATAGATAAAACTTATTAATTTTGACATATAAATGGAGCATCATTATAAATAATAAGATTAGATAAAATTAGTTAAAATGAATTTACATTTATTCATAAAATTTCTTTAAATTTTGTTTAATGTCCATTTTAATGATGTCAATTAATTATATATCAATTTAATATCAATTTATTTTGATATCATTTATAACTTTTATAATAAAAATATCTTGTGACTAAAGATAAATTGAAGATAACCTTAAAATTTTAAAAAATTGAATAGTTGTAATTTCTTTTGAATCATACAATACAATTAATTGGAATTAATTTATAAAAATATTATTGCGAAATTATTCGAATGATTTGCTTTATGTGATAACTAATGATATGTATTTTTTTATAGATAAACTGTAATATTTCAACATGTTAGTAAGTACATATTTTCGTTCATAAATTGTAAATTCTATACACATTTTATCATATATAATATTCATCAAAATTATATAGATTTATTGAAATCTTCATTTTATAATTACAATATTTAATTTACAACATTTATTATTATACTATAAAAATTGTAAGTATCTTAAAATGCTAATATATTTTATAGGATTCTAACCTATTTTGTCAAATATAGATCTATATATTTTATAGAGAATTCGATATATAGATAAGATTATTATAAAATAAGTTTAACGTAATCAAAATTATTATAATCAAAATTCTAATTAAAATTTAGATAAAGATATATGTATTCTAAAGCAACGAATAGATTATAACTTAATCGCATGCGATTCTATTTTGACAGATTTCTATCACTACATTTATGGCCTCTGTATAAACTACCAAGATTTAAGTAGAACAAAAATACGGTTGTAATATTGATCAAACGTATCTTTGCGTCATTAAGGATGTCGTGATTTCCGTGGAAGCTTGTTAGAAACCCTCATGGGATCGATTTAAGCTGCGACTAGAAGCATAGTATCGTGAAATGTAATAGGTTTAATCTGTTTCTTGTTTCGAACTCGAAGTCCCTGTTGAATAGCTTGCGTGTACTTACTTATTGTGACTTGTTGTGTAAATCTTGAGATAAAATCGAAAGAAAATTTATTGTCATAATTTATGAAAATCATTCTTATCATATCCCGTGTAGCGCTTTATTTTCTTTCTCTAACGTGAATGTGGAATATCTGATAAAATATTTCTACATTACTAAGATATTTTTTAAATTAAAAGAAATAAATTTTTGAAATAGATAATTATAAATAAATATTCTTATTTTTGATACAAAAATTTTGTTTCTTTCTAATACAGGGTAAATAAAATTTTTTTTACAGATACTAATTACATAAGAAAGAATAGTAGTTGTATAAGAAAAGCAATTTTTATTTCTAATATTATTTCAATACAATATATTAAATTCATATTATTGTACATAATATAAAATATAAAAAATTTAATTTATCTTTTTAGAGAATAAGAAATAAAAAATAGAAATCATAGATATCTTTATTGCATTTAATTAAATGGAAAATCAATATTTTATTTACAGTGAATTTTATAAAAATATAAAGTATTTGCTCGTGATCATTACATAAAATCATATTTCTAAATAGCACTTGCTTGTGGAAATATTTCAGTTATCTAATATTTGTTTAAACATTTTCAAATTTTCTTATCTCTGAATATCTATATTTTTCATTTTTTAATTTGAGTTTTGTATTTATTTATTTCTATAGATATGAATATTTATATATTTATTTATCATTTATACAATTGATATATATATATA